AATATTAGTTATTTACGAAATTTTTTTCGTAGGTAATTTTTAATTACCTACGAAATTTTTTCCATAAGTAATTTTTAGTTATCTACGGAATTTTTTCCGTAGGTAATGTTTAGTTATCTACGGAATATTATCTATGAAATTTTTTCCGTAGGTATTATTTAAGATTTTCTATTTCTCACAATTTTTATTATATATATTTTTTTCTTTTAATACAATGTAGAAACGAAATATGTATATTAATTTTTCTTTTAATATTTTAAAGTTTAATACTAGTAATAACTTATTTTCTTTTTTAAAAAATTGTAATAAAGTATATAAATAGAATATGAATTTATCTTTCAACAAACTTATAAATTTTACTTTATTATATAAATCATCAAGTTTAATATTTAAAAAGAAATAAAAGTATATATAATTTTAATATATTACAGTAAATTTAATATAATAATAATAATAATTATTATTATTATTATTGTTATTCATTTTTATTCAAATAGATCAATTTTTAAGTTTAATATATGTTTTTTTAAATAACTTGTAGCGTATGATTTGAAACTAAATAGATTATAGTAAAAAAATAAATATTACTAAAAATTATCATTTTAAATTTTTTATTTTTAGAAATTAATGATGATAAAAAATAACATACTAATATTTGGTTTTAAATTTGATATGAAAATATTATAATATAATTAGATAAGATTTTAAATTAATATTTTATTAATGGTTGATAATTAGAAAATAAAACAAGAATAAATATATTTTTTTGAATTTTATATCTTAAATTTAAGATGAATAAATATAATAAGTTAATTAATTAACAATTTATTTAAAATGTTAAATTTTAATTTATAAAATAAATATTTTAAAAGAGAAGGGTTATAATAACACCAATATAATAATAAGGGTTATTTACATTATTAAAATTTAATTTATAAAAATAATATTTTAAATGTGAATTTTATAAATTCAACCGTTAGATTAAAAGTTTTTTACTCTTAGCTCATATATAAACAAATTTATATTAATTCAAAGATTATTTGATACTTCATTCTTGTAAAACAATATTGATGTAATATATACATTTCAAAATATACTAAAATATGAACACTTTGATTACCTTCAAGTTGTTGTTCAATTTTAACAAAATTTGATATAAACATATAAAGTGATATGAACTTTCGATCTAACGGTTGGATTTACAAAATTCTTATTTAATATAAAGTTATTGAGCAGTGTAATACTAAGTAAAAATTACACGAGTGTTATTATAGCCCTTATCATTTTAAAATATATAATTATTATTTAAACTTTTAAATTTATAATAAATAATTTAAATTGTATCATAATATTAATTTTAAATAGAAATAAGTAGATTGTTAATTATACAAGTAAGTATATATATA